AAATAATCGTTCTTATCAGCAATAATTCATCAATGTCGAAAGTAGGATACGGACCATTATTATCATGAATTTTACTTTTGTGAGAGTGATGATAACTGAAATGGTAATGAGATCTTGATCGTCATCTTACCGATAAGGTTAATAATGATAGTAGTGAAAATGACAGTGGTAATGTTTTGATAGCGATGACATTAGAGTGGATGTTGTCATGATAGCAATAATAATGATATTATCATTGATGAATAGATCCGGTGAACCGAGTAGAAAGGCTACACTTCGCCTATCATTGAGCCACGATGACGACCAGCCAAAATATTCAGCAAAAGGAGGGAGAGGCAAAAACGAGCGAGGTGATAACAAACGCGACAGGCAAAAATCACCATTGGATGATGATGGTTCATCGTTGTCGGTAATGTTTAAGTGACTGGTTCGGGTGCTATGTTGGGAGATAATAACTGATAAGTTATCTCAACTCTTGAATTCCGACCGATTGATGCAAACCTTCACGATTAATTAATCAAAACAATTGGGGTGATCAAAACATTAATTGATCGCTCGACAGCAGATCTTCATGTATAGACAGATACATGATCATATGATCACCTAGAAAGTAAAAGCGCTTTCGCCTTCTTGGTTCTTTGATTTCGAAAGCTTACAGTTACAAATCGATAGAGAAAAATTTCGAAATTGAAGGGTGGAAGAGCCGTACAGATCGAGCTACCCCCAGGCGAACAAGCGCAGGAAAGTGAAGATGTGGCACCGGAAAAGAAGGCAACTTTAGGCAAATGGGATGCGAAATGGCCCAGAAAATCCTCCTCATCATCATTGTCCAGCAGATCAGATTCAGCTGTTGGTTCAGCATCATCTAAATGTCAGTTCGATGAGGATTTTATGTTTTGAGAGCCATAGCATGAGACTTAACGGTCTGCGTAGATGTTCTTTCTTCGAAGTGACAGATAATTTTGCCAATTGCTTACGATGAAATCGATAGTTGATCCTTGGAATAGCCGAAAACTTTGGAATTCGCTCTGAATTCTGCTTGCTTATTGAATTTTTGAATTTTCCTGAGCAAATTGGCTAAAAATTCAATGATTTAGTTCAATGTCGCCCTGGAGAAGTATGATAACTCAACTTTTTTTACTGATTATCTTTGAACTGCCCAATCAAGAGTTGGGAGTAAGTGTGAAAAGCTTTAGAGAGCTCAAGATTCCAAGCAAATATAAGAATTGTTTTCAGCTACTAATTCGGCATCCTCATCGAACACAGGTAATGACAATCCCGTTTTAATGGCTCAAGACTCATTGATGATGGTGAACGATAAGAAGTTATTACCACTTGAAATTTCCGCTCAAGGTGAATGAAGAACTAAGTTTTGAATTGTTTCGTCTATCTTGCATCGATAAACATCCATATGAAATTTGCTTCCCTTTTTTTCAACAACCTTCCAAATGCACTGATGAAATGTTTTGTCCTGAACGATCAAGAGAGAACAAGAAAAATTCTGGTAAATGCTATGCAAAATAGCCTAAAAAATTGTCTTG